GCCGCTCGGACGCCATGGCTCGGGGCAGGCTGGGCAGTGCGGCGGGGCGTGCGCGTGCGCGGGGCGGAGCTGCTCGGTGGCGCGTGCGCGTGCGCGTGCGCGACGTGCGCGGGACAGGGCAGGGCACGCGTGGCCCGGGCGCGCGCGCGCCCGGGTGGATTCGGGTCACGTGGCGCGCTACGTAAGAGCTCGGTCGTGAGCTGCACAGAGCGCGTGCGCGTCCCTCCCGCTCCGCCCATCTCTGACTACGCCTTGGCCATCGCCCCTCCCTCCTCTCCCCATTCGGGTTCGGTCCGCGTTCCCTGTGCCTTCCCACGACACCATCGGCCTGTGACCAGAGGTCCGCCGTGCAGGGACACAGGGACTCCTCCCAGGGCGGATGTATTAGCCCCCTGTCCCTGCCCGTAGGTTCAACCTGGAATTGCTACCCTTTCCGGTGGCGGGGTGGTTACACATTGGGCTGCTAACTGCAAGGACGGCAGTTCGAAACCATCATCTGCTCCGTGGGAGAAAGATGAGGCTTTCTGCTCCCAAAAAGAATTCCAGTTTCCGAAGCCCACAGAGGCAGTTCTACACGATGAGTTGTGTTGTTTGGGTTTGGCCTTGTAAGTGTGCCACTCCCCGCTTGCCCTCCCCTCTGGCTGTTAGCGACTTCAGCTACCTCACTCCCACACAGCCCCCTCAGGGAACCTTTCTCTTATGGACAGACAATTCCTCTCATCCTTCGGGCTGAGACTTTAAAGTCTTTTAATCCAGTGGCGGTGTAACCAGCTCAGTGCTGACAGGGGTCTCTACGCGGCTTCTCCAGCACCCAGGGTAGGTCCATGTGGCTTCTCCTGAGGGATGTCTCGCAGGAAGTGAGCCTTGCCAGCTGAAGCAGGGAACTGGCTAAGGCAGCTGCACCCTGGTCCGGCCATCAGAGAGCAAGAGACCGAGAACTAGAAGGGCGAGGCTCCCCGAGCCATTTATCTCTCTGCCCTTCAAAGAACCCCACATGTGTTTATCAGCCAGGTTGGCACAACAAGCATACCTATCACAATAATGAACTATACAAAGACCTGGAGTTAGAAAACCAAAAAGGACAAGCATGCTCAGCATATCTTACTCGGAAAGAACTAGAGAGGAAAAATACAAGCCTCCAGTTGCAATAGCGAAAGCCTCTGTGTGCAAAATAGTGAATGATGCAGGAAGCATGAAAAGCATCAGAGTCACTGTGCCAGAAAGAACTAGTCAACAGTCCACCATGTCAGGAGGCAGCCTATGAGCAAGGACCAATGCCAATAAAGGAAGACATGCGAGCTGCATAAAGCATTCGTCAAAAACAAGGACCATCGCTGTAAAAACAAAGAGAAAGAAAACAAAAGAACAAGGATCCAGGAATTGGTGGAATGCCCATGGAAATATTTCAGCAAGCCGATGAAACACCGGAAGCCCTCATTCCTCCATGCCAGGAAAACTGGAAGACAGCTACCTGGCCAACTGACTGGAAGAGATTCCTATTTGTACCCATTCCAAAGAACAGTGACCCAACAGAATGTGAAAACTATAAAACAATACTGCTGCCATCACATGCAAGTAAAATGTTACTGAAGCCCATTCAACAAACGGATGTAGCAGTCCTTTGACAGGCAGCTGCGAGGTCAGCCTGCATTCAGGAGAGGACGTGGCACAAGGGACATCGTTGCTGATGTCAGATGGACCTTGGCTGAAAACAGAGACTTTCAGAAAAAGGTTTACTTGTGTTCCATTGATTATGCAAGTGTATTCAACTGTGTAATTAAAAAAACCAACTATGTATAGCCTTGAGACTAATGGGAATTCCAGAATATTTCACTGTGTTCATGCGGAACCTGGACATGGATCAAGAGGGAATTGTGTGAACAGACCCAGGGAATACTACTTAGCTGAAAACAGAAGAGGTGTGCATCAGCGTTGTGTCTCCTCACCCACTTGTTCAGTCTGTACGCTGAGCAGATCATCCGAGAAGCTGGGTCATATGAAGAAGAATGTAGCATCAGGACTGAAGAAAGGCTTATGAAGGACCTGCGATATGCAGATGACACAACCTTGTGTGTTGAAAGTGAGGAGGACCTGAGGCACTTGCTGATGAAGACCAAGGGCTGCAGTCTACAGTGCAGATGACAACTCCATGTCAAGAAAACCCAAATCCTCACAACTGGACCGATAGGTAGCATCATGATAAGCGGAGAAAAGGTCGAAGTTGTCAAGGATTTCTTATTGCGTGGATCCACAATCCCTGCTCATGGAAGCAACAGTCAGGAGGTCAAAGGACGCATTGCATTAGGGAAATCTGCACACGACCTCTGTAAAGTGTTGAAAAGCAAGGATGTTATTACTTTGAGGTCTGAAGTGTGCCCAATCCAAGCCTAGGTATTTCCAGTGGCCTCATCGGCAGGTGGACATTGAACAAAGAAGGCAGAAGAAGAATCCATGCTTCTGAATGACGTGTTCTCGCAAAACAAACCCCAAATGAATCTGCCTTCCAACAAGTATGGCCAGGATGCTCCTTTGAGGCAAGGATGGCCAGACTTTGTCTCCTATATTCTGGGCGTGTTGTCAGGAGAGGTCTGGCCCTGGAGAAGGGCATCGTGGATGGTGACGTGGAGGGCGGCCAAGAAGAGGAACACCTTCAACAAGATGGGTGGCCACAGCGGCTGCACCCGTGGGCCCAACACAACAATTGCGAGACCGCTGCGTTCCCTGTGAGGAGGGAGGGACTGGGAGGCGCCTCACACGAATGAGTGAAGCAATACAGCCACCACACTTTTTAAGCCTCCAGCCGGCTGGGTTATATGCCCCTGGGAAGAGTCGGCATTTCTTTGCCTTCAAGCTTCTGTTACTGTTAGCCTGTGGGCCTGAGGCCGAGTCCAGGGTGGAGGGCACACTGGGTACAGGACTGACCGGGGGCTTTGGCCCATGCGAAAGCTCCTTCCCACACAGAGAACAATGTGGTGAGAAGTTGGGGAGCCGTGAGAGGAGCCCTGAACACCACAGCCACATCCCCCATGGCTTTCTTGGCTTCTTCACGGGCTGCCGGGCCTTTTGCTACGTGGCTTGGGAATTGTCTGAGTGGTTGAAGCAATAGGTTCCCTTCGATTTCTGGTAAACCATGATTATGTTTTAGTAACAGGTAGTCTAGGGGAGTTCAACTTTCTAAAAGGGCTTCCCTGACTTGACCTACCCCTCAAGTAATGGCATCTAACACCCAAGAGGTGGCATTCAGAGAATTTGTGGCAATGTTAGTGACGGCCTTCAACGTTCAGTGGGCCCAGGACATTCACCAGAGAGGCAGCAGACACCACTGGCTCCAGGGAGGGCTACCTCCTGTGCGCTGCCTTGCTCGCAGGAAGTCCAGGCTCCACTCTGGACCCTATGAGGCAATGACTCGTGCTGGGGCTCTGTGGGGTGGACAGAAATCTCTTCAGATGGCTCTTGGGTCTCTGTAACTCCCACGACTGAGTTGTTGTTGTTGTTAGGGGCCGTGGAGCTGGTTCATAGCGACCCTGTGCCCTAGAGAAAGAATCACCGCCCTGTCTGTCCTGTGCCATCGTCAAAGCTGTCCTCCTTATGGAAAACAAACAAACAAGCAAACAAAACCCTGTCATGTCTGAGCCCATGGCTGCAGCCATTGTGTCAGTCCATCTGGTTGAGGAATTGTCTGCAGCATGTACCAAGCATGATGTCCTTCTACAGCAGCAGCAGTTCTCAACCTGTGGGTCGCGACCCCTTTGGGAGCCAAACCACCCTTTCACAGCGGTTGCCCAATTCATCACAGTAGCAAAATTACAGTGATGAAGTAGCAACAAGAATAATTTTATGGTTGGGGGGTCACCACCACATGAGAACTGTATCAAAGGGTCCCGGCATTAGGAAGGTTGAGAACCACTGCTCTACAGGGACTGGTCTCTCCTGATAACATGGCTAAAGTACACAAGGCGAAGTCTTGCCATCCTTTTTAAAAAAATTGTTATTATTATTTTTACCATTATTGCTTAAAAAATCATTTTATTGGGGGCTCATACAACGTTATTTTTTCCATACAACTCTTCTCAAAATCCATACATCAATTGAATCAGGCATGTTTATA